GGTTATATTCATGTTGGTTAGTATTGGATTGAAAAAGGTGTTTTGCGCGGAAGCTGTTTCGACAGTAGCTTACTTGATAAATAGATGTCCCTCGACTGCCTTGGGAATGAAGACACCTGAAGAAGTTTGGTCGGGACATCCACCTAGTCTCGAGAGACTGAGGGTATTTGGTTATGTGACCTATGCTCACATTAGGCAAGACAAGGTCGAACCTAGAGCTCTGAAATGTATGTTCATGAGATACCCTGAAGGAGTCAAAGTTTATAGGCTATGGTGCCTAGAGCCAGGTCACAGGAGGTGTATCACCCTTCGAGATGTAGTTTTTAATGAAGCAGAGATGGCTTTAAAGAAAAATAATGATGCTGATGAAGATCTGAAATAGGGAGAGATTCCTGTTGAGGTGGAGCATGTTGATGCTGAATTGCGTACCCCAGATGAAGTCGAAGAAGATACATAAGATGTTATTGAAGATGAGAAGACAGATAATGACTACCTACTAGTAAGAGACAGGTCGAGGAGAGTCATCAAGCCACCTCAGAGACTTGGGTATGCAGATCTTATAGCTTATGCCTTAATCTCTGCTAGTGAGGTTCTAGATGAAGAACCTAGAGACTATAAGGAAGTTTTGAGGAGTCGAAAGAAGACTGAATGGCTGAAGGCCATGGATGATGAAATGAAATCTCTTCATGATAACAACACCTGGGAACTTATCAAGAAACCTGCTGGAGCCAGGTTAGTCAGCTGTAAATGGGTTTTCAAAGTTAAGGAAGGAATCTAAGGAGTGGTGTCGAAGAGATACAAGGCAAGATTAGTTGCTAGGGGGTTCACTTAGAAAGAAGGTGTCGACTTCAATGATGTGTTCTCTCTTGTTGTTAAGCATAGATCCATTCGAATGTTGCTTGCCCCAGTGGCACTGTTCGACCTTGAACTAGAAGAGATGGATGTGAAGACTGCGTTCTTGTATGGTGACTTAGATGAAACAATCCTAATGAGGCAACCTAAAGGGTATGTCGAAAAAGGGAAGGATGATTATGTGTGCAAGTTGAATAGATCCTTATATGGACTGAAACAATCTCCTCGACAGTGGAATAGGAGATTCGACAAGTTCATAGCACACATAAGTTTCATCAGAAGTCAGTTCGACCACTATGTTTACCTCAGATTTCGACCGGGTAATTCATTTGTTATTTTGTTGCTCTATGTGGATGATATTCTAATAGCAAGCAACAATGTCGAAGATGTAATGAGGGTGAAGGATGAACTCAATAAAGAGTTTGACATGAAGGATCTAGGAGCTACATCCAGGATTCTTAGGATTGACATCCAGAGAGATAGAAAGCAGTCGAAATTATGCTTATCTCAAGAGGCATACCTACGGAAGGTTCTCGAAAAGTTTGGTATGTCGAATTCAAAGCTTGTTGTGACTCCAACAAACCCTCAATTCAAGCTGAGTATAGATCAGTGTCCCAGAACTAATGTTAAAAGAACTTATATGAATAGAATTCCATATGCTAACATAGTAGGTTCTTTGATGTATGTTATAGTCTGTACTAGACCCAACATACCATATGCAGTAAGTCTTGTAAGCAGGTAAATGGCGAATCCTGGAAAGGCTCCTAGCAAGCATTGAAGTGGATTTTAAGGTACATAAATGGGTCTCTGAATAGAGTCCTAATTTATGGTGGAGCCTTGGGTGAAGATAGTAAAGTAGCAATCGAAGGATATGTCGACTCTGATTATGCAGGTTGTATGGATTCCAGAAAATCTATCTCTGGATATGTGTTCACTATGTTTGGAACAACAATCAGTTGGAAAGCAACACTTTAGAAGGTTGTTGCCTTATCAACCACTGAAGCGGAGTATATTTCCCTAACTGAAGCGGAGTATATTGCCCTAACTAAAGCTGTGAAGGAAGCATTGTGGTTTGAAGGTTTTGCAAAGGAGCTAAAACTTCAAGGTCGAGTTATCACTGTTAAATGTGATAGTCAAAGTGCAATACACTTGTCGGAGAATTCAGCCTATCATGAGCGAACCAAGCACATTGATGTGAGGCTGCATTTCGTCAGAGGGGCAATCGAGCGTGGAGAAGTCCAAGTGCTGAAGGTTTCGACAGATCATAATGTTGCTGATATGATCACCATGACGTTGCCCAGTTGCAAGTTTTTCCACTGTATGCAGTTAATAAAGCTGCATGAAGAAAGCTAGTTTCTTGATGTTATAGAGTTAGATCCAAGGTGGAGATTTGTGAGATGTTGGATCAAACTTTAGTATGATCGAAGTCTGTTCGTGAGTAATGCGTGTTGTAGTCGAACTTTGTTCTAACATGCACTAGTCAATATTTTTAGGGTTGTTAGCATGTTGAGTTGGAACTTGCTTGTAATTCCAATTGTTTAAGTTAGCTTGTAATGGATAATTGTTAAAAAGTCCATTAGGTTAGTGTGCTATTTTTCTTATAAATAGGGTGCTAGTTTCTCAATCTTGGAATAAGGAAAAATAGGAAGATAAAATTCTAATTTCAAGAGAGGTTATTTTGTTATTCTTGTATACTTGTAATCTTGTTCTAAGAGAAAGGAAAGAATAGAAATTTAATAATCATTCCTTGTTGTTTTACCTTATTTTCTTTGTTAACCCTAACCCTAGTGTGTTTCTTGATCAAGAAGAAATTGTTTATACTTTGTCTCAAGGTATCTGATTCATAACAAAATAGATCACTCATTGTGGGACAAATGGAGTATAATTTTGAAACCCTGATCAATTGAAGCCCATTGATTTCTTTTGCCATGAATATTGTGATATGGTTCCTTGATATAAAGATTGGTAGCAATTGATATCAAATAATTAGTTGTGTACAATATTCTGTGTTTCTTTATTGATATTTAGAGTATACTTTTGGTTTTGGAAATGTTAAGTATTATTAAGGTTATGCATCTACTACAAAGTTATTTTGGCTAGTAGTTGGATGTCATTGTATGTATTTTCTTTGAAGAATTGGTGTGATGCAGTAGTAAATAGAATTACATGACTTTTTTAATGAATATTAGAAGCATGTGATTTTGAAATTTCTAAGCTTTTAAATGTTGGATAACAAGGAATTAAAGAGTCTAATTGGGAAATCCTGCTAGTCAGTTATGTTCCATCAGCTTGATGTGTAGTTTCTTGTTGAGTTTTGAGGTTTATTTTGTAAGTTGTTCGGTTTCATTCAAGTTCTACAGTTTTACACATGTTTAGTTTTTCAAATTCAGTTCGGCAGGTCTAGAGTTTGTTCCAAGTTCGATTTTGCAAGCTTGTTGCTTCATTGAAGTTTCAGACAAATGCAAGATGTGATTTAATTTCGGTTCTTATTTTCATCTGGGACTGTGTTGGCAAACTGTGTTGGCAAACTGTGTTTCTAGGTTCAAGCTCGTTTGTGTTGACTTTATTGTGGATTTCAGTTCAATTTGTGTTCATTTTCGGTTGTGATATATTTTCGATTCAACAAGTTGATTCGATTAAGAAAGTTTGTTCGGTTTTGTTATTTTATTCATTTTGGTTCTACAATTTGGTGTTCGAATTAACAAGTTCCATCTTCTATTTTTTGTTTCTTCTGGATTAAATGACCCATGTGACTTCACAATAGATGATATTCAGTTTGACCGCTCACCGCTTTAGCCATTTGCTATTGCATTTTTTTCATTGGCTATGGATTTTCTGAGATGATTTGGTAATTTGTTGGCTTTCTTAGTTTCTTCGTTGTTGAAATATTTGAATTATTGACTTATGGTTTGAAGACACATTGACATGTATATGTTTCTCATATGGTTTAAAGACACATTTACCTGGATATGCTCCTCCATTGGCCTATTGATTTTGTTATTTGTTGCCATGTTTGATGCAGATACTTAGTTTTATTCGCTTGTTGTGAGTCTTGTCCATGGTGGTTAAAGTTTTCATTTGAGCTTCTCTCATAGATGGTTAAGCATTGTTGTTGTACTTCTGTCTTGAGTGTTTTGCACTTTTGATGGTAAATTTTGTGTCTATTGACTTTGATGTTATGCTTCTGCCCAGTGGTAAAACTTTTGATGTTAGCTTATGCACGATGATGGTTAAGCATTGATTTCATTGTATTTTTCTTTGTTTGATGTAATTTTCCATTGTTCATCCATAGTGACTATTGGAGATATAAATTAATGACTATTAGAGATAAATTAGTTACATATTAGTCATGGTGAGATTGAAGTATATATTGTTGTAATCACCTCATTAGAATGATATTTTTTACTCATTTATAATATCAGTTACTTATCACATTTTAGCCGTCTTTGCAAAATTTTCTTATATTAAAATAAAGTCAAATGTTAATCCTAAATTCCAAGTATACTTGTTCTTAATTTTATGGGTTATCACCTAACACTCACGTTGATTCTCCCTAATTGGGACTCCATCTTTAAATTACTAATAATCAGACCTAACTTTTCAGTAAAAGAAAATCATTGACCTAAGAGTCAACACAAGTGGCAAGCCAAGAAACAATTTATTAGTACGACAATTTTTTGGTAAAATTTCATTAATAGAATAAAATACTTTTGATTCCTACATGGCGTAGCTCTCATGTATAATACATCTAACTATATGGTATTTTTAACTTAGAAAACTTGTTCAATAAAAAAAATCTATAACCATTTATTTAAAAGATTTAAATCTTTTATGACTTAATAATTAAAATATTTAAACCATTTATTTGACCAAATTAATTATCGCATTTTGTCTTGAATGTTTGGAGAAATTTGTTCCGAGCCCAATGAAGAAAATGATTGCTCTGTTACCTAAAACAATGAAGTCGTATTGTATCAAATTTATTGCATTATCTATTATTTCCACAATTAAAAATGTTATTGTTCTTTCAACTTCTCTCCAATTCACCTACGAATTTTCCTTTAAATACACACACTTGTGAAAACTACATGTTTCATTCTACAAGAACTCTCAACAACAATTACAATTCTTCTATCTTTGTCTCCATCATGTTCATGTTTCGTTTCTTCATCATTTCATTTTTATTTCTAGGATCAAGAGTTGAGAAAACTAATGCTCAATTATCTTATAAAAAAGTCGGAAACAAACTCTTGTCTTATTCAGAAATATTTGTTGATCCATCCGGACATGAAAATTTTAATACAATTCAATCAGCAATAGATTCAATTCCGTCCAACAATAAACACTGGACGGCTATAAGGGTTAAGGCCGGCACCTACAGGTACGATTTTCATAATAATATATTAATAATTCAATAAATTTAAAGAATAATTTTTATATTGTAACTTACCATGAATATTTATAGTGTTCAATCTCATTATACATATATATTATTTATAAATTTTTATAAAAATTAATTTATTATTAAATATATTTTGTTTTTATTTCAGAGAAAAAGTAGTTATTCCAGAAGATAAACCTTATATCTTATTGAAAGGATCAGGAAAGAATAAAACTTTGGTTGAATGGGATGACCATTCAGACTTAAGAAATCCTACATTTTCATCATTGGCTGACAATATTGTTGTCAAAGCTATAAGCTTTAGGGTAAGAAATAATTTGACGGAATTCCTATTAATTATTTTTCTCTAATTGAACTTTGATATTTAAGTTAATTGGTTTTATATGGTTGCCATATATATTCTTATTTCCTATTTTTTTTGACCAAATTATTGCATTTTGTCTTCAATGTTTGGGGAAGTTCGTTCCCAGCCCAATATAACAATATTTATATGTTAGCGTATATTTTCAAGAAATATGAGGTTTTTAATATGAATTTGTTTAGTTTTGTTAAGTGAATTTTGTTGATAGTTGTGAAAAGATTTTTGATTATAATTTAGTTTATTTATTTTTAAGGGATGGAATGTCATTAAATTATTTGACAAGAAATATGAATTATGTTATTATTTTGCCTTAATAGTAACTTTGGTTCCCTATTTTTTTAAATGGAAAATCAAAACCTAAACAAATATGGAAACAAATTGCAAATTAAGCCTATTAATAAATTTTAAAAATAGTAATCTTTATCATTTTTTATTTAAAATGAAAAGACTCATTTGAACTATTTAAAAAAAATCATATTAAATTGACCCACAAAATATGCATCTCTAATTGATTTTGCTAGATAAAGAAAAAATCTTAATTTACCATATATATATATATATATATATATATATATATATATATATATATATATATATATATATATATATATATATATATATATATATATATATATATATATATATATATATATATATATATATATATATATATATATATATAGTCAATAAAACAACAATTGAATATGTAGTTTAGACTTTGGTAATATTTCCTTATTTTAGAGTTACTGAATTAGTTTTTTTTTTTATAGAAATATACCATTTTAAAATAATTTTTTACTATATTTACTAATTTGTGTAATATTATTGAGTAATAATTTGGTTATAATGTGGAGCAGAACTCATACAACAATCCAATAAATAACAAACCTAAGTTACCTGCAGTAGCTGCAATGGTAAGTGGTGACAAAACCTATTTTTTCAGAGTTGGTTTTTATGGTTATCAAGACACTTTGTATGACTCCAAAGGAAGACATTACTATAAGCTTTGTACAATACAGGGCGCTGTAGATTTTATCTTTGGTGCAGGACAATCTTTGTTTGAGGTAACTAATTTAATTTAATATATTTTTCTTGTTAATGATTGTTGTGAATCAGATATCTTTAAACAAAGTATAAATGGTTTTTTAATAATCAAAAAACTCACAAGAGTTAGGGTTACGAAAGAAAACAAGGTAAAACAACAAGGAATAACAAAGATTGGTTATTAAACTGCTATTCTTTCCTTTCTCTTTGAACAAGATTACAAGAATAACAAAATGACCTCTCTCCCTTGAAATTAGGATTTTATCTTCCTATTTTTCCTTATGCCAAGATTGAGAAACTAACATTCTATTTATAATAAAATAGCACACTAACAATTACCCATTACAAGCCAACTTAGGGTACAAGCTAACTTAAACAATTGGCTTACAACCAAGGCCCAATTCAACATGCTAACAACATGCTAACAACCCTAGCAATATTGACTAATGCATGTTAGAACAAACTTCGACTACAACACACATTACTCGCGAATAGACTTCGACCATACTAGAGTTCGATCCAATATCTCACAAATCTCCACCTTGGATCTAACTCTATCACATCAAGAAACTAGCTTTCTTCATGCAGCTTTATCAACTGCATACAGTGGAAACACTTGCAACTGGGCAACGTCTTTTCTTTTGCCGTTAACGCAATGTCCATGGCTGTCTCACCCTTCAATGCTTCCAAACAACCATGCTGAACCAATAGGGCTTTTATCTTCAAGCGCCACAGACCGAAGTTGTTCACTCCGGTGAACTTTTCAATCTCATACTTTGTTGAAGGCATCTTCTCCACGCTCACCGCACCAATTTGTTGTGAATCAGATACCTTTAAACAAAGTATAATGGTTTCTTAATAATCAAGAAACTCACAAGGGTTAGGGTTAACAAAGAAAACAAGGTAAAACAACAAGGATTGGTTATTAAACTGCTATTATTTCCTTTCTCTTTGAACAAGATTACAAGTATACAAAAATAACAAAATAACCTCTCTCCCTTGAAATTAGGATTTTATCTTCCTATTTTTCCTTATACCAAGATTGAGAAACTAACATCCTATTTATAATAAAATAGCACACTAACCTAATGGACTTTTTAACAATTACCCATTACAAGCCAACTTAGGGTACAAGCTAACTTAAACAATTGGGCTTACAACCAAGGCTCAATTCAACATGCTAACAACCCTAGCAATATTGACTAATGCATGTTAGAACAAACTTCGACTACAACACGCATTACTCGCGAACAGACTTCGACTATACTAGAGTTTGATCCAATATCTCACAATGATCTTACACAAAATAATAGAATTCTAGGTGATCCACACTACTCTATTTGAGGATGCAAATTTAAAATCTATCAAGGTTTAAAGTTATGATTAATAGGGTTTTATAAAATATTTGTCATAGTTTATCTGTGATAAAATATAGCTCTTAATTGATTTGTCACTATTAAAATGATAATTTTAATTGAAATTCTAAAAACTTAAAGACAATTATGATAATTAGAATTGTTCGTGACATAGATAGAAAACCGAACTAGTCATCTATTTTATTTTTTTATAATCAAACCAAACCAAAATTAGTGGTTTTGTATACAATTTAAAATTTTAAAATTTTAAGTGAATAAAATCGTTGTAGAACACTTTTTTCAAAACTAAATGATAAAGAACATAATCATTATGTTTTTTTAAAATCTTTTCAATGAAGAATTTTAGACTTGTTTTTAATATTTTTCATTTTTAATTTTGATTTAGTTTACTTGCCACTTGTTTCGGTTTTAAAAATATTTATGCAACATAGTTCAGTGCACAAACTAAATATAATATTCAATTATTTTAACTTAAATTTGATTTGACGTTCAATTCAGTTTCAAGGATTTTTTTTAACAGTTCTCCTAATGATTCACTTAATATATTGTAGAGTGGTGTTTTAATGTATGATATTTTTGTTAATTGAATTTTGTAGAGGTGTTCCATAAGTGTTATTGGTGAAGGTTATATAACAGCACAAGGTAGAGAAAGTCCAAATGATTCAAGTGGATTTGTTTTCAAAGATTCACATGTGTTTGGAAATGCTACAACTTATTTGGGAAGAGCTTGGAGACAATATGCAAGAGTTTTATTTTACAATACTAACTTGACCAATGTTATACAACCTTTGGGTTGGGATTCATGGAATTTTTCTACTCGTGAGTAAGTTCTCTACATTTTTATCACCTCATATTCAAATAAATTAAGGTTTTTTTTTCTCTTTAAGATTTATTTTAGTTTATCTACTTGGAATTCATGTTTTGAAATAAAATTTTGCAGGAATCTAATAACATTTGCAGAATATGGGAATTTTGGACCTAGTGCAGATACATCAAAACGAGTGGGTTGGGTTGATAAACTTGATAAAGCAACCATTGAGAATATGGCAAGTGTGAACTTCATTGACCACAAGAACGAATGGATTTATAGTCATCCATACTAAAAACTTGTTTGGAAGTGCTTTTAGGCTGTAAAAGGACTTTAGTATATGCTATCTACTATATTATTATGAATTTAGTTACTATGGACTTTGGTTGTAAAATGTTTTACACTAATTTATCACAATCATTCATTCATAGATGTTATTTTAGATTTTAGAGAGAGAGCTGTAATAAAATCAAATATTTGTAAAAAATTTATGATGAATTGATGGTTTAAAATATTTTTAAACTGTCAATACATATTAATAAAATTTTATTATTTATTAAATTTTTGAGAATTTAATATTCGATTTAAGGATCGACTAATCTGATGAAATATTTATTCTATTTGCTAATTATTTGTTTTTATTTAATCCCTACAATTTATGATTGTTATTTTTAGATTCATACAAGATAAAAGCTTTAAATGCATATAACGCAATGACTTTAGGTTGTCAATTGCGGTTTAGGTATATAATGACTTTTATAGTAAAATCTTCATTTTAAAAAACTTTGCCTAGAGTTCTCGTATGATTCATAATCTGAATAAATTATTTTTTTAGGTTTTATAATTATGTATTGTTAAAAGCATAATACGTGACAACCCCTAACGATGAAGGGCTATCAGGGATTTTAGGGTTTGTTGAAGGGTTTAGAGCTAGCTAGCTCACGTAGAAAGGTGAGAAGCTCCGTGTATCTAGTATTTGTGTCAATATGAGATTGTCTAGATTCATGTCTTTCACATATATCACATGTACCACTATACACTTTGATTAGCCAATCTACTCTAGAAACTCATTAATCCTCTTGCCATATGCTCTTGGATCTTGTTTTAGGCTATAAAGAGACTTATGGAGCTTCAAGAACTTATCATATTCACCTTTCACAATGAATTCCCGATGTTGTTCAACATAAAATTCCTCTTTAAAGAATCCATTGAGAAGTGCATATTTGACATCTAGTTGAACAAGATTCAATTGTATGAATTAAGCCAACGCTACCACCAATTTGAATGTCTCATTTCTGCAACTGGTGTAAACATTTGTGTCAAATCAAGACTAAACTTTTGTAAGAACCTCTTTCAACAATCCTTGTCTTATGTTTGTCAATGGAACCATGTGGTAGATGTTTCATTTTATATACAACTGTAATAGGTCTTGTACTTTTTAAAAGCACAATACATGATAACCCTAAGTGATTAAGGGATGTTAGAGGCTTTAGAGTTTGTTGATGTGTTTAGAGATAGCTCACGTATGGAGGTGATAAGCTCTATGTATCTAGTATTTGTGTCAATATAAGATTGGGAGTGGTTTGTTAATCCTCTATTATTCGTGCTAAATAAAAATAAATAATTATACCCTTTTACCCCTGTTAGGTTTGTACTCATGGGTTAATATGTTTATCTTAGCCCTTTTACCTCGGTTGTACCTTCATGGGTAACTTGAAGGGTGTCTCACATTTCTTTTTCAGATTCATAGTGAAAACATGCAATAACTCATCAATACCAAGAGTGATAACAGTAGAGGTTTTTTCTTTCAAATTGTGTTGCACTTTTTCCTTGTCCTTTTTGGCCTAAATTTCTCTATCTTTATTTTCCACATCACCATCAACTAGATGTGTTGGAACATAGAGACTTTTTCTTAGAAGTTCATATATCATAGTTTATCCTCTATATAAAGATTCTCATTTTCTCTTTTCACATATCATACCCCTCTTAATTAAAGGATGGAGGCCTGTTTAGTGAATCGTTTGAAGTCATTCCTACCTCTTGTAACGATTATAACAAGAGTATGATTCTAATGTCATTTTTTTACTAAGTAACTCCAAATACTAGAGGGAGGAGTGAATTGTGATATTCCAATTTCAAAAACCGGTTTATAAAAATATTTTGATTTAAAATCATTTATGTGTTTTAATTTAAAATAATTTATGTTAGACGATAGAGATAAATAGAGATAAAGTAGCAGAATAGTGCTCCCCTTGAAAATCGGAAAACAACCGCTGATCTTCCAAATCTAACTTTGGTGACTCACAGGATCGATCAGATTGATCTTAGGACATGTGCTAAAAGATTTATTTTTTGGTTTTAAGGTTTTTATCCAAGTTCCACACTCGAATAAGGTTGGGATAAACAGAATCCTAAAAGAACATCTATTCGACTGCGGATTAATTTGCAGGTAAAATAAGGCTTCTAATAAAAAAGAAGAAAGTTTGTTGGTAAAGGTGAATTTAGTTTGAGGGCGAAGGGAAAAGAATTGCGTAAGGGGAAAAGAAGTAAGGTAAAGAGTAAAAAAGGGTAAGGACAATAAAGGCAGTAAAAGACTTTGTAAAACTTAAAGTAAAAACAAATAAATTGCATTAAGTTTAAAAGATGGTGTGTTTACATCACGTACATTCTCCTTGATACTCTTTTCTCTACACTCGGATACTTTGAGTAAATTTAGGAGTGACTTGCACAAATAGTAAATTACAACACAATTTAGATGTGTCTAAGACACTCTATTTATAGTAACAAAAAATAACCTCTAATAACTTCCAACATAAGACTTAGCTTCTTTCGGGGTGGGTCTTTCGACTTAGCTTCTTCCTCCTTTCGACCATTTTGTTGTATTCAAGGTATTCTCCACCTTTTTCTTTGGAAACTTTCTTTCTAGCTGAGGCGTCGAATTTAGGAGCTAATAAATTGCCCCCCAAAAATGTCTTTTCAACTTCGACCGTGAAAAAGCACATTTTTTGACAATACTTGACCTTCGACGCTGCTTTGCCCTTGTGAGTGCCATCTGGTATTCTTTCCACCAATGTGAGCCTGGGAAGTTGAAAGAGAATGAAAGAGAAAAAGAGAAATATCTATGAACATGCAAGCTACTGTTCTGCCGCCTTGATGCACGTTTTATGACATCATTATCATCATCGCTATTTTCTCGGGACTCAACAAAATCGTGGGCCATCATCATCCTTCCATCCTCGGGGACGTTGTAACAGCCCAAATTTCATTAAATAATTAATTGTAGTAATTAATTGATTTAGTGGGATTTTATGTTAATATTGGAATTAATTTTTATTAATTGGAATTAATAGAGAATTGAAAGGAAATTGGAAGGAAAGAAAATAAAAGGGATATATAAGTGAGAAAGAAGAGAAAGGAAATTAGAGAAAACATTTGGAGAGAAAGAGGAAAGAAAGAAGAAAGAAGAGAAAGAGAGGAGAAGAAGAGGAAAAGTGGAAAAATCATCAAGAACCAACATCAAAGCTCCGATTAATCGAGGTAAGGGTGAGAAATGTTTCTATTTGATCATTGCATGATGTTATGTATGTTGGGTTGGGGTTTTGGTAGAGTTTTCATCACTTTCCAATTAGGGCAAATGTTGGATTAATCGGTAGATTGATGATTTAATCAGTTGGAACTGAGTAATAACACCGTAGAATAGTCGGGTAACATGTATTGATGCTATTTGTACTGATTTGGATGTTCAAGAGTTGGTGGATGGTGGAATGGTGAAGGAGGGACAGAGTGTGGTTCTGTTCTGCGCAGGTTCGCTGGCTCTCGCCAGGCGAAGCCCAGCGAATGCTGGCGAATAATTAAGTTTAAGTTCCAGTGGACTTTGCTGGCGAGTTCGCCAGGCGAAGTTGGATAGCGAAGGTTCGCCCAGCGAAGGTGCTGGCGAATGGTGGCGAATGAAGTCAGTAGCTACTGACTTGGGCTCGCTGGAAAGTCTCGCCAGGAGAAGCCTAGCGAGTGTTCGCTGAGAGAGTTCGCCAGGCGAAGGCCAGGCGAAGGTTCGCTTCGAGGGTTCGCCAGGCGAATGAAGGCGAATGTGACAGCATTTTTCTTTTGCTGTGTTGCTCATGTGGTGATTGTTTGGTTGATTCACATAGGTTAATACCTCTATGATATGAATAAGTATGTGATCCATGGTGATGATATGTGCTGTGGGTAGCCTTTGGGCGTGAATCCTAGATTTGTGGTATGAGTATTAATCAGATCGATTATAAATACATGAGAACATGATAATGATTATGTGTGTATTATTTAATAATGGTAATGTGCGTATTATTTGATGAGTTTGTGAAGGTTTGATGTAGTGTGCAATTAGGTAATAAGTATGCATGAGAACATTGTGGATATATGTGTGCATAGCCTATAATTGTATTATTGGTACTGTGACATGTATACCTTGTATGAAATGGCATGAGATGAATAATAAACATAATACAAACATGTATTGTGGATGTATATTGTTTATATGGGGTTGTATGTTAAGATACATGAAGAATGCATGAGAGCATATTGAGGGATATGCGTGCATCGTTTGATAAATATGATGTTTGTATTGATTGGATGCGATTATGTATGAACAATGCGTGAGAATATATCGTGAATATATGTACATTGCGTGGTAAATGTGTTATGCGTGTAAGCATGATGTAATTCTTGTATGATGAATTACTTGAGAATGCATGAGAACATATTGTGGATATGTGTGCATTGTTGATAATGCGGTGATGATATTGAATTGTGAATGTATATTGTTGGTATATGGTGGTATGAATAGAATGCATGAGAACATGTCATGGATATGTGTGCATTGCTTGATAGATGTTGTAAATGCATATTGTATGTATGTGATTAAATGTGAATAATGCATGAGAACATATCGTGGATATGTGTGCATTGTTTGATAACTGTGAAGAATGCATGAGAACATATCGTGGATATGTGTGCATTGTGAGTGATAATGTGGTGATAGTGTTGAATTATGAATACATCGATGAATGTTATGTGAATATGTTGTGTGTGCAATCATAATGTAATTCTTGAAGAGATGAATTATTTGAATGCATGAGATTAAGATGTTGGTCTTAAGTGCATTTGTTGTGGCTGATTGTACATGCATCATTTAGTCAAGAGGCAATGTCTGTTAGTTTCGTGGAAACTAGTGGCTTGTCCCAAACCTAGAAGAGTGGGTTTGAAGGCTTAGAGGACGGGCCTTTGTGGTTATCGGTCTAGAAGAGTGGACCCGGT